AATTAATTTAATTTTAATATTTATTAATATTAAATTTATATAATAATTTTAATTATAGTAGTTATATATTAGTATATAGTTAAGTAAATTATACTGTTTTAATAAATTTATATAATATTAATATTAAATTAATATTATTATAATAATTATAGTAATATAATAATATTAAAAATACACATGTATTCAATATTTTGTGCTATTAGGGTAAGATAGAAAATAATAGACAAATTCAGTTAGAATGAAAATGCCAATCTAAGTCTGTAATTACATAAAAATATGATTCTACGAGATATTGTTATGATATAAATTATATCGTTCAATTAGAATTCCATCGATGCGTGTGTGTACAATAATTGATATAATGTCATTGTATATAACGGTACATTCAATTGACCTAATTTCAGTCCATTTTGCAATTGTCGCAAATGAAACGTTGACTCGTTGTAAATTAATTGGATCGAAGATACGAGGAGAATTTTCACAAGGACAAGGACAATTTTTATATTTTCATGGTCATAGCGTATATATATATATTATTCTTAAAAAAAAAAAACCCTGATGCGATTAATTATTATGAAATAAATATAATCAAACAACGTTGATTACTATTGAAGTTATAAAAAAAGGTGTTTCGATAAAAAAAAAAAAAAAAACAATTATTTTTTGACGTTTCTAAATGTACTTTTCATTTTCATGTGAATTGTTTAATGCTCAATTTACGAACTGTGAGTTCATTTGAATCATTTAAAATTTGATTACTATATATATATATATATAAAATTAGGTACACACATATAATATATTTAAAAAAAGAAATGGTATCCACAAAAGCCACTATAGTGGCGCGTATTGCTTCAAATGTTAAACAAATAAGAAAGTTAGTTGATCAAAACTGGTATGCAAAATTGTAGACAATGTGAAGATATCTTGGCGGTAGAATTATTAGAGGATCAACGGGAGAGGGGGGCGGGGGTTGTTCGTTTAAGAGAAGAAACAGAAGAAGAAGAAGAAGAAGATGAAGAAGAAGAAGAAGAGAAGGAGGAGGAGAAATGGGTAAGGAAGAAAGAGCGTGGGTAACGGAAAGGAAAGATGGGTTTGGGGGTGAGGAAGAATAGCCACAGGTCAGGTTGAAAAGGAGATAGAGAAAGAAGGTTGAAGAGGAGAGTAGAGGAGAAGAGAGGAGAGGAAAAGAAAAGAAAAGAAAAGAAAAGAAGAGAAAGAGAAAGAGAAAGAGAAAGAGAAGAACACGGTGTGGTGTAGCCTGAGGCATTGCAGAGCGCATCGTCTCGTTGGTTAGCCTCAGGGTAACGTAGTTTCTCTTTCTCTCTCTCTCTCTCTCTTTCTCTTCTCATAACCTTCCAGCATAGTGAGGAGGTGGTTGTGGAGTTGGAGGAAGTGGAAGAAGAGAAGAAGGAGACGAAGAGATCGCCGCTATCTCTCCTCGTTTCCGTGCCGGAGGCATGGCGACCGTGGCTCCCCACCGCACTCGCGATGGAATACACACCTCCACGTTTACCCTCAGGTTATTCTTCCTTCTATAGTTAGGGGTAGAGGGGTACAGGGAAAGGGGGTAGCAGAGGGAAGAGAGACTGCATGATTCTGCCGCTTCTTGGCCTCCGGGATAACCGAACGTCCTCTTCTTTTATGTACGTACACGAACTTCTCACACACACCCACACACACGTATACATATGTATATAGTTATTCAAGATATATATATATATACGAGCTATCGGCGCGTTCGACTGCATTGCCTTGGGTGATCTTTCTCTCGTTTTCTTCTTCTTCTTCTTCTTCTTCTTGTTCTTCTTCTTCTTCTTCTTTTTTAATCTTTTTTCTCTTTTACTTTCTCTTCTTTTTCATATCTCTTTCTCTTTCTACTTGGTTTTCTTACTTGCTCTCTTTTACCTCAGGTTACTCCCGTTTCTGTTCTTCTTCTTCTTCTTCTTACCTTTCTCATTCTCGAATCTTTCTCTCTTTCTTCATTTCTTTATTATTTTTTTTTCTACTATTTATTTTTATTATACTAGTTTTGTATTCTTCTCTCGTTGTATTGTTATTGTTATTGTTATTGTTATTGTTGTGTTATGATGGTTTATTTTTCATTCACCTATGGGTATAATATCTCAAGTTTCGTTGATTTTTTCATAGTTCACTAGGAGTCAAGTTTACAAAGGTAATTGTTTTCATTGATTATCACGAGTATATCATTTCCTATAATAATAACGGATAGATAATGATCGTTTGGTATTCTAGTCTCGTGAAGGTTTTGTATGAGTTATATAACCGATGACAATTATTCTACGTCACGACTTTGAGATTGATTAGGATGATTGGATGATTATATACGTTCGGTGAAATATCAATTACATCTTATTATATATATATATTAGTTTTATTAATATTATTTATTTATAATTCTCTTTTGTTTTGGTTTGTCTTCAAACAAACATTTATCTCTATCAATAATATTATTTAAGTATAAATATAAATATATATATGTATAATTGTATTAGTCAAGAAGACAAAACGTGGGTTGAATTTGAAAGAGACCCATTTAAACGAACGAGTCACGCAAAAATGACTTCGTTGTAAATCGAATCCCGTTATAATTGTAAAACCAGTCGGACTCGCTTTCATTTTGGCACACGATCGTGAACACGGCACGCGTCTCTGAATTTAACACGGAATTTCTTTCTCTACGTGTATATATATATATATGTGTATTTGTGTGTTTGTGTAAGTATTATAATAATGGTAATGCGTTTGTTGTTGTTGTGTGTGTGTGTACGACTCTACAAGCCAATTACGAAATCTTTCAATTTCCCTTAGGGATTATTATTTAATTACATATATATGTGTTTCGTATAATTACGTTTCAAGTGATCTGTTACAGATTGATATAAATGAAAAAAAAAAAATAAAAAAATAAAAAAAATTAAAAAGAATGAAACCTGTTATTATTGTAGTCGTTTCTTTCTTTTAAGATTTGTTTCATCATTTTTCTTCTTTTGAAATCTCGCGTACCCGTTGTATGATGTGATTTAAACTAAAATACAACATCGTTCATTTTCCTGACAATCGACAACAGCTTGTTTTACCGTAACTACGTCGCCACATTTGTTCATACAAATTCCAGAAAAATGATGACAGTGCGTTCTGTATTCGGATTTAACTGTAAAAAAAAAAATATATATATATATATAAATATGAAAAGATTTATCTCAACGATATGATACATTGTTTAAATGATATCAAAATAAATAGTGGGAACAATTGTTTGTTATATTCACCTATACTGCAACATTCATTGCCATTGAGACAAGATGCATTGCTTACTGTACTGTTGCATTGTTCTTGAGGTAAACAATTCTCTGGTGGACAATATTCCTGAGCTGTAAATAATAAATTAATTTAATTTACGTCACATATTATTAAAAAAAACAAGAAGCTTTATTTCAATTATATCCAATAGTTCCTTATATAAAGTTTTTAAATATCTTTTAAACGAAAATGGGGATATTGTCAATTGAAAATTGAAAATTGCATGAGAAAATTGAGAATGATATTGGAGAGGAGGTGACAAGGATGAAGAAAAGCGAAGGATAGGAAGAGTAACAGGAGATGAAAGTTTCTCGTTACCGGGGGAACAAAAAAATTTCAATTTCTAGTGAGTATAAGAAGATACGAAAAGAAAGAGAGAGAGAGAGAGAGAGAGAAAGAAGAAATAAAAAGATTCAGTCATTTCAAAATTAGTAATGGAAAATAGTGACTTTTTCTTTTGCAATTATTCATATTGTTTGACAAACGTAAATAATATGAATACTGAAACATTATTTGTTACATATATTCCAATAAAAAAAAAAAAAAAAACAGAAAATACCAAAATATTTGAATATAAAGTATCACTCGTAATGCAAATTGAAATGGTTCGATAACAAATGAAGAAACATGAAACGTCACTCGATCATTCGATATAATATTTAGAAGGATCATTTGTCATGATATATAAATAAATAAAGGATATAGAGGTATGATTATTTATACGTTTTAAATAAATATGTATGGATCATATGAAAATAATGAAACACACAAATCAATACTAAATTAAAAAGTATTAATACATTATTGACCAAACAAAATTATGTATTACTGTTTGTAATACGTAATGAAATTATATGAATTTGTTCAATAGAAAATTGTTAAGTATGTATTACATTACGTTGACTGCTAATTCAATATTATTTTAGCCGTGTTAAAGTGTTAAAACGTTATCTACCGATTACAAGTATCCTCTTGCTTGTATATAACCAACTTATGTGATTATTGAAATAGAAAATAGTATAAGTTTGAATTATAATTAGGTTCGTACGGTATTTTCCTGTTGTTATTAACATATTCCTAGAAAAAAACACGGATGAACTTATAAAATTATTTAATAGAAATTATTTATAATATTTCATAGTTGGAAAATACAATTTCTAATAATTTTCATCGAATAATTACTATTTAATATCAAAAATTTATC